TTCAAAAACTGCAATTTGGCCCCCTATTGAAAAGCAGAAAAGCAAAACGAAATAGTGGCTTTCTTGCTGCGGCAAAGAAATTTCTTCACCATGGCGAAGTTCATACACACATGGTTGCTGCGGCGAAGTTTAATTTCGCCGCGGCAAGTACAAACTTCCAATAGACATAAAACATTCCAGAGACTTTGATGCTGCGGCTAGGTTTTATTTCGCCGCGGCTAGATCTACTTTTCTGGAAGGTCACCACGGCGAAGGTTTATTTTGCCACAACCAGATTCACTTTTTGCCTCTCAATACGGTGAAGTGTTATTTCGCCGCGGCTAACATTGCAAAACAATGAATCGCATAGTAACCCTTTTTGAAGTTTTTCATGTAATGATATGGATCCAAATCAAATCAAATGCACAAGCATTCAACCGGGACATCAACCAACCAATAAGTCACTTATCAACACATCATTAGTCAATTGATCAATTAAACAAAATTTTACAAATTTAAAAACAATCAATTTATGCATCAACATGTTATCAATCAAATATACATGTTATCAATCAATGATTAAACATTATAATCTGATACCTGAGGCTCTAATACCATTGTTAGTAACTGAACGGATTCGCGCAGCAGAAAAACATAATATTTAAACGAATCGATCAATTATACGAACCAAGATCCGAGTATAGATTATAACATTTTCATGCATAAAATGAAACGTAAAATAAAACTATATTAAAAACAAATCCATGCAAGGATTTAGTTCATACCAATGTTTGGAGGCTCCTCCGAATATCTCTGACTTCGGACATTAACACTGTTCACCAACTACTATTCATAGACTACTATTCATCGATTACTGTTCACCAGATACTGTTCACCAGATACTGTTCACGTGATTCTTCACTAATCGCTCCAATGTAGGATCGCACTCACGGAAGTCCACATGACAATAATTTGTAGAACCCTTGATTATTTTGCTAGAACAATAAGGGCTTCAAGAATCAAGAAAGAAGAACAAAAAAAATTTTCTTCTTCACTCAAAAGTGTAACATGAGAGAGAGAGAGAGAGGGTGGCTAGGGTTTTTGATTATTGAATAAATCCTCTTTTGTTTTAATTTTAAAGAAGCAAAACCTTGAGCAAATATGTTAAAATCAGATCCAACTCACAAGGAAACACAAGAAAATTTTGATGTGGAAAAACCTCTTAAATGTGAAAAGAGCAAAAAACCATGAGAATCTAACAATCCACTTAAATCCAATATAATCAAAAGAGTTCACAACAACCACAATCCACCAAAAATATTTCATACAAATTTGGAGTCCAATCACAACTCTAACACAAGTAAAATACATAAATGTTTACAAAGAAATAAATTAAAATCACCAGAGAAGTAGTCAAACTTTAAGTTATATAACTCCAAATCCAACTATTAAAATCAAAACTCAACCATCGAGATTAAAAATTTAACGAAACTTTGCCTCATTTGCTCATCAACCAAACATACTACAAAAAATATACTTGAATAAAAAAAAATATTAGAATTTAGAGCAATATTACTAAACGAAAAGGAGGTAAAAAAACAACAAAAGTTTGCCTCATTTTCTCATCAATCTAACCAACAAAAACACCTTAATAAATTAAAATAAAAAAACCATAGAATTCAGAGAAAAATACAAAATAAAAAGACTGTATTAGCATCATTTTCTCATCAACCTAACAGACTAAAAATAACTTAATAAAATAAAATAAAAACCGTAGAAGTCAGAGAAAATTACGAAAGATGAAGACAGTAAAAAAAAAAAAAATAATGAACAAAGCTTTGCCTCATTTTCTCATCAAGGAAACACAGAACACAATTTAAACAAAAAATAACTACGAATTTGAAGCACAAAAATAAAATAAAATAACCTAACACATAAAAAAAAAGTAGAAAAATCAACCTCATTTTCTCGGTAACCAAACATGCAGGAAATAGTTGAAAAGAGTGAATACCTTAGAATTTAGAGGTTGAAGCTGAAGAGAAAAGCGAGCATGAGTTTGTGTTCAGAGGTTAAGCCTTGTACAGTTGCACAAAATTGACAATTATTGGTTTTGAAAGAATGATCATTCTTTCAATTATCTGTATGAGTTTTTGCCTTTTTTTATTTCAGAAAATTGGTAAAGGTCATTTGTAGAAGTGGTTTTTGATTAATGTTATAAAGTTTACTCTTAATGAATTTTAGGAGAACTTTATGATAATCTGCAAAACTTTAGGAGAATTCTTGTCGAAGTTGAATGTTTTTACTAAATTTCAAAGGACATCATTGCTAGGAATGAGTAATTACTCTCTTTCTGCAAAAGCTTTTGAGTTAGGAGGAAGAGATGGTGTATTGCAAAGGCATTGTTGCATCATTAAAGTTAGGGTGGTTTTTGTTGCATAAAATTTGGTAGTTAAAAATGAAAATACCCTCTGTTCTTGGATTCTTCACACTCATTATTTGGTTATCCCATAAAATCAAAAGTATAAATTTTTAAATTTTTATTTACTTATTTGAGGGCCTACCCTCAAATGGCCTGGGTCCACCCTTGGTTACACACTTGGCATACAAGTCTACCTCTACCATATCCTTTACCTCTTCCTCTTCCATAAGACCGGGTCGAGAGGGTGAGTTGGGAAGGGTTGAGGTGTAGTGTAAAATGTTGTATATGTTTGTGAACAGTAAGGGTGCTGGTGTAGTAAAATGTTGAGGAGATGGTGTTTCATAAACGGAGGGAGCTGTATATGTTTGTGAACAGTAAGGGTTGCCAAGTGAAATCAGTGAAGGTACATGTAACGCCCCACATGAGGTACGTTGTCATTGTTTCCTCTTCCGCTCTTATTTGAAATTGGTTTTGGTAATATCGTTTGATTGAATGTGGTGTTGAATGTTTGCCCTGAAATTGGTTGAGAATAGAAGAAGTTTAGTGTACCAAGCTTCGTTGGGGCGAAGAAGAATCTTCGCCGCGGCGAAGATGTGTTGAGACCACCGGAAACTCTCTGGACNGATACAGCACAACCCTTATTTAGAACATTATAAAACAACATTGATTATGGAGATGGCAACACCATAAACTAGTTTCTGTAGGCCGTAGCTTCCATCTTAGTTAATGCTGTGGAAAAAAGAAAACCAATGTTAAGCTGGGTTATCAGGTTTCTAAGTTTTTTATGTAAATATTCAAATAGTAAAACTCACTTTGCACAGTTTGTGTACTTAGAGATGGGAATGTTCAATGGAACCCCACATTTTCCAGGAAGAGATGAAGCTGCATCTTGTTTGATCTCTGGATGCTTAGCAGTAGCTGACTTCACACACTCACAAGCTTCTTGTCTATCTGTAGTTGTTGGAGTGATTGCCTTGATATTCCTCACTCCATCACAGCATGCAGTTGAAAGATCTCCCTTGGCTTCCAAGTAAGGCATGCAAGGCGCCAAAGATGCTGCAACTTGGCCGCATTGGACGGCTTCTCCAGGCTTCACCATGAAGTACACCATGGCTACAGCCAACACTAACATCACAATACTCTTCATCTTTACTAAAGTTTGGAAAGCTACTTAACTAAAGGACTCTTTGAGCTTGTGTTTTAATGAGCTTGTGTTCTGCCTTGGTTATGAACAATAGCAGAGGATAAAGGGGTATATATATATATATATATAGCATGTTGGGGATCAAAAGAGGTGGAATCTGGGTGTCATGGGAAAACAGAAACAGTTACAGCGTTATATCTTATTAGATCCCAATTACTATTTTCTTTTCAATTACAATTTTATTCATTATTAAAATTACTAAGTAAGACATAAAATTACTTTATGCACAACCTATCTAAAATAAATCTTCTGCTATTAATTCGAATTATTTATTTTATTTTCTATATCATAAATCTAAAATAATATACAATAAAATATATGTTTTAATTTCTTTAGGTTTATTTTATTCTTTTTTTATTGTTTCTAAATTTCAATTGATTTACATTTTCTGAGAATTTTTAAGTTTGTTATTATTATTATTATTTTTTAAGAAAATATAAACAATTAACTTGATTGATATGTTAAATGAAGATAAAAGATATAGACTATATATAAATAAGTATTGAAAAAATATAACATGAATAGTAAAAATATACATGTAAGAGTTATTTTGTAAATAGACGAGGTTCATTTAGAAATTTAGATATGTAATATAAATTTTAGAAGAGTTAATTTAGAAGTTGGGTTTATAAAAAAAAAAAAAAAAAAAAATGATTGCGGCAAATAACATCACTCTTAGCATAAACAAAGTGTAATTAATGGACGATTAATAATGATTTATTTCAATTGTTATGGTTACATTATTAAGTAATAATCACTCCTTTGAAATCTTTAAACTTTTGGGTGTGTGTCAAATGTCATAGATTGGGAGTCTCACACTCAAAAAAGGCTAACCCTATCGCACATAGACGTTTGACAGGACACTGAAAGATAGTTAAGGTCTGTTATGATACCATTGTCACGGGTTAGAAGTTTTACACCCTAAAGACTAATCCATTAGGTGAAGGGACTCTTCCTTTATAAGCTCAAAACATTCCCAATGCATTTCAGATGTAGGATCCATGACATAGAGCACATAATAAAAAAGCACACAAAACTAAAGAGAAAATATTATTTAAATATATTAATTTATATAATAGACACTGGATCACTGTTTTTTTTTTTCCCCCCAAACTGTATAAATAGAGGAAATTTATTTTCATTTTGTTACGTATTGCTTCTATTTCAAGGAAGAATGTTTAACCCTTCAACATATCATCAATATATAATGAACTTGATGTATCTATTGCTGTAAACTTGCAGCTCTACACCATTACATGATAATCTCAATACAATTTCTGATCATCAGGACCGATTAAAACACTGCAACTTTATTTAAATCATGGAGATATATATATGGCAACACCTTATAAATCTTAATTGGCCTTAGCTTTATTTCTCTTCCTGCTCATTCCCATCTTAGTTAATACTGCAGAATTAACCAAAAATGAAAACCAAATTATTAAGTAAAATAATGTGTAACTGAAACTGAAAATTCGGTTTTGTAAGTAAATACGCAAATGGAAAATTAAACTCACTTGGCGCAGTTGGTGTACGGAGAGATGGGAATATTCAATGGAACCCCACACTTTCCAGGAACAGATGAGGCTGCATCTTGATTGATATTTGGATGTTTAGCAGCAGCTGACTTCACGCACTCACAAGCTGCTTGTCTATCTGCAGTGGTTGGAGTGATTGCCTTTATATTTCTTACCCCATCACAGCATGCAGTTGAAGGATTTTGCCCAGCAGCCTCCAAGTAAGGCATGCAAGAGGCTAAAGACGCCGCGACTTGGCCGCATTGGACGGCTTCTCCAGGCTTCACCATGAAGTATACCATGGCTACTGCCAGCACAAACATCACAATGCTCTTCATTTTTACTAAAGGACTCTTTGAGATTGGAATTCAGTGAGCTTCTGATGACTTGGTGATGAATTATATGTGAAGGCTCATACGGGGTATGTATAGCACATATTGGCGACGAAAAGAGTTGGAGTATGGATGTCATTGGAAAACAGAAACAGTTACAAGTTTTTGGCTTCTAATCTTCCCTAAAATGTCATCAAAATAGTAAGATGATAAGCTTTTCGAATTCATGATGGATGGATGATGTGCATTTCTTCTCTTTCGGTTGAAAGAGCTTCTCTTTTTGCAGGATGAAACCAAACTGGGAGGTTACCAATGTTTCCTGCAACTTATCAAAGAGTATAGTAGGAATGATTTAGAGAATAGTAAGACTTGATGAAGACTGTAGAAAATTACAGAAATTACAAAGGTAACTGATCCTGTAACAAGCAAATCCAAAAAAAATCATGGGGACTTTGACTTGAATTTTATTGCATTTGATGATAGACTCTTTTCACTTACTAAATTTTAAAGGTCAAACTAGATTCATCAAAAATTTCTTCCATTAATTTCTCAAGACATTTTGACATTGAAGGGGTGATATAATTTTCCAATCTCCCACCAACCCTTTTCTGAAGTAACCATCTTTTCTGTATCAAGCAGAGCTTTTTCCGATTTTGTTCACCTTCAAATTTCTCAGGTTGTCAAAAGACTCAAAACTACATAATTTTGACATTTCTTCTACTATTCCTTGACTATTTTCTTCCTTGGATAAAGAACTTAGTAAAAAGTCAGCCATAAGCAGCTCCGCGGTGAATTGGCCCAAGAAATACTATAAGGAGATGAATTGGTCCAGAGGGTTCTTAAAAAAGTAAACAACACAACTAGAATTCACAGTGGAAGGTGGTAGTAGTGAAGCACGTGGAGTATGCTTTGCGAAAATCCTTGGCGTAGTTAGTTTTTCCAGATTAGGAGATTGATTTTTGTTATAGAGTTCAAACTAAAGGACATTCATCTGTTCATTGATTAGCATCAAAAGATTCATGGACATTCATCAATTTCAATGCTGGATCAATCTGTTCATTAATTACCATCTTCCAAATTCTGCATTACTATATAAATAAATAAATAAAAGTCTATGAAGTAGAAGGGTTTTATTCATTCATTTAATTAGTTAGAAAATAAAGTAGTGCTCCATCGTTCTTTGTGATCCTTCACTGGCTTGGTAAGAGCCATAAGATATGGCTCTGCAATTTTAAATGGGATGATCACAGATAACAACTGATTGTGCTTTATGAAATTTCTTTTTGTAGATGGAAATTTATGGATATTGTAACATATGTTATGAATCTTCCAGTGCCATATTCTCACTTTTGTGCTCTGCCGCCCTTCTATTTACTATGCCTTGCCTTTAGAATGATTGGTGCATATATTTATAATATTTTCTTCAATTGTGGTTAATTCACTTACCAGTTATGGCGATTATATTGACTTTTGTAATTGCTTAAAAAAATTTCCCCATTAAAATAGTATCTCATATGTGGATATATGAAACAAATTCAGCTTATATAAGTTCTTGTTGATATATATTTATTTGCAGTATATTGAATGATTCTATATAATTGTTGGAGTTTTTGACCACTTCAGTATTAATGGGTGACACAGACGCATTTGAGGGTCTCAGTATAAATATTAACTATGTTAAACGTAGCCTGTTAATTGGATGAATCAGGATAAATCATATTTATTTTTTCTTTCTTTTTACTGTTTGTGGTTTGTGTGTGTTTACTAGTTTTGGTTTCCTATTAATCTCCATTCGTTTAATAATCTCACCTATACTCGCATAAAAAGAAAAATTTTGTCAACTTGTTATGTATTGCCTTCCTTTGGGTTGTTTCTGATCAACAAGAATAACCAAGAATGTTTAATTTATTGCATAAACCATTACAGGAGAATCTCAAGAATTTTGCATAACACGGCATCAAACAGCAAGATTATGGAAATGGCAACTCCCATAACGATCTTTATTTCTCATCCTGCAGGTCTCTTCCATCTTAGTTGATGCTGAGAAAGTAACCGAAAACAAAGTTAAGCTTAGCTGGAACTGGATTATCAATTTCTTAAAGTAAATGAATATGCGTATTCTGAAAATTAAACTCACTTTGCACAGTTGGTGTTCTTGGAGATGGGAATGTTCAATGGAACCCCTCATTTTCCAGGGAGAGATGAAGCTACATCTTGATTGATATCTGGATGTTTAGCAGCAGCCGACTTCACACATTCACAAGCTTCTTGTCTATCTGCAGTTGTTGGAGTGATTGCCTTTATATTTCTCACCCCATCACAGCATGCAGTTGAAGGATTTTGCCCAGCAGCCTCCAAGTAAGGCTTGCAAGGGGCTAAAGACGCTGCGACTTGGCCACATTGAACGGCTTCTCCAGGCCTCACCATGAAGTAAACCATGGCTACAGCCAACACCAACATCACAATACTCTTCATCTTTACTAAAGGACTCTTTTAGCTTCTTCTCCAAGGAGTTTCTGCCTTGTTGATGAACAATAGCAGAGGGGTGAAGGGGTGTATTTGTTGCACATATTAGCGATGAAAAGAGTTGGAATTGTGAGGGATATGGCATAACAAAAACAGTTAAAAGGCTTTTGGATTCTACTCTGCCTTGAAACATCCTTAAAAGTAGTAAAGAGGATAAGCTTTTGGATCATATATTTCTTGTCCATTACTGTTCTGTTTCTGTTTAGTTCCTACACAAACTTTGATGACGCATACATGTTGCTCATTTCTATTCTTTCAATTGAAATGATGCATCTCTTTCTGCCAAATTTATAACCAACATTTTTCTTAGAGGCCAATTATGTTTATTGGCAGAAAAGAACACGACTAAATTAAGTAGATCACCATACGAAGAATGATAAAATTTTGGTAGAGTTGTAGCTGCAGTTCAACTCACCCTTAAAACTGACTTAGAAGGGGTGGCTGTCCACGTGGTTTGGTAACCCACACATCTAACTCATTATTTAGCGATGCGAGACTCAATTAAGATCGTTATAATCGTTATAATTATCATGCTTTCGTGACCGTTCGTAGTTGATAGGACTTTTATACCTAAATCAGGCCAAGCTGTCTAATGTCACGTACGGCCCAAATTAAAGGTCTATTGGACCTTCCTTGATGAGAGATTTAGATCCGAAGAGTATCCAAAAAATATGTCAAGAAGCTTTCAAGATACTCTAAAATATTCTTCACCAAAGAGGCAGCAAAATAAGATTAGGATTCTTTATTATGATATGATTAATCTTGGATATCTAATTTATTAGATTTGTATAGATCTGGACGGTCATGTTTATTTTTAAAGGCCAACAAGAAACTCCCTACATTATACCTAGGTCTAACACCACTTGTAACAACCCAAACTCACTCGAGGATGCCCATCTGGGTATTAACCCACATGCCAAGGCCATCAAACTTGATATCAGAAGCCCTATTGAAGAATGGATCATTAAAAGTAGTCAACATCAAATGTACTATACTACTATTAACAAGTTGCATAATATTCATGAATAGTCATAAATCATCTACAATGCTTGATCAAGCTTTTCATTAGCATCTTCCAAGTTTTACTCTATTAACAGAGTGAAGGGAAAGAAGGCTTTCATTCATCTATTGGATTAGAAAATGAAGAAGTGCTCGTTCTTTATACCTCTTCACTTACTTGGTAAGTGCCAAAGGAGATGGCTCTGCAAATTTCATTGGATTACACACACACACACACACAAATGCAACTGATTATGCCTTATGAATTTTTTTTTTTTTACTTAAATTAATGAATATTGTAACTTACATTTTCCCAAAAAAAAAAAAAGAAAAAAAAAAAAAAAAAAAAGACTAATAATTTTAAACTCACTACAAACTTTAAAATTTTAGTTAAAACAACGAGGCATTTCCGAGCCTGTAACTTGAAATTATCAAGCGTTAGAGGCTGAACACTAGTTTTGGGTCCTTTCCTGCTAGCTTAAATTTTTGGCCAAGCAATTTATTTAACATGATACCTGAGGAAAAGTTGTTCGAATCCTTCCCTGTATATTACAAATCTTCATATATATTTATATATGTTCCATTTGCAGCTGGATTTATCATACTAATATCATCATAAATTTCTTATTATCTTATATGGTGGAAATTAAAGGGACTAACTGCTCTTGTGATTTTTCCATTTGTAAGTTTTTCATGTAAAATTGGTGTCTCATTCACGTTAATTGATTTTTGCTGGTGATTCTTGGTATTTGCATAAAATTCATTTTAAGGACACATGGGGGAAATTCTTCCTTCAGTTTTTTATGCATTTATTGTTGTATTTTTATTAAATATTTTGTTAAATATTTCAAAATACACGCATTATTTCTTGTATTTATTGCAGTAGTTAAGCTTGCATAAACCATTACAAGAGAATCTCTAAATAAAATTTCGTATATGATAACAAGGAATGATCAAAATATACAACCATGTATTATTGTAACACAACATCGTACTAACACCCAAAGCTCCATAAGCTGTAACTTTATTTCTCATCCTGGTCTCTTCCATCTTAGTTGATGCTGGGAAAGTAACCAAAAAAGAAAACAGTGTTAAGCTGGATTCATTATCAAGTTTCTAATGTAAACAATATGTAAATTTTTGGTTGTAGATGCATATGCATATATATAAAATTAAACTCACTTTGCACAGTTGGTGTTCTGAGAGATGGGAATGTTCAATGGAGCTCCACACTTTCCAGGAAGAGATGAAGCTGCATCTGGATTGATATTTGGATGTTTAGCAGCAGCCGACTATTCTATCTGAAGTGGTTGGAGTGATTGCCTTTATATTCCTCACCCTATCACAGCATGCAGCTGAAGGATTTCCCTCATTCTCCAAGTAAGGCATGCAAGGGGCCAAAGATGCCGCGACTTTGGCCACATTGGCCGGCTTCTCCAGGCTTCACCATGAAGTACTCCATGGCTATAGCCAACACTAAC